AAAACATTACCCAGGCCTCCCTCCATGTATGTAGTTTTAATTATATCCGGACCGGCTGCGTCCCCAATATCAATTCAGTGCTCTTATTCCTTTCCCTCTGAAATTTTTCGTCCGGCATAATTCCACGTTTTTTGACGCCAAGCCCAGAGAAATGTGTATCACGTGATTGTTCCATTCTCGCCAAGTTCTCGTCAAAAACAACTTCATCCCCTCAAATTCCGGCTCTTCACAGTTCAATCCAGGTATTCCACCCGTCCAATTCCACTCCAACAATCACAATGGCTGTATCAGTAAGTCAATTCACCCCTTAGCCTTCTCCCTCCATCGAATTCATCAACATTATCTCCTCCTGCCTCTTCCCACTCCACCCGGGGCCGAAGAGTCCGAAGCAAACAACCGATGGAGCTGACGTCGTGTGTCCAATCGTGGACACATCCCACGACCAACAGCGGAGCGCAGCTCTCAAGCTCGACTGGGCGAAAGTGTCCACCTCCCTCGGCCTCCGGGGCCAGACCGCCACATCCCTCGCCGCCTTCAAGAAGCGCAACGATGATGCCCGCCGGAAGGTGCAGCTTCTCGAAGAGCAAGCGCAGACCGTCGACTTCTCGTACTACCGCAGCGTGCTGAAGAACCAAGCCGTCGTCGATGAGATCGAGAAGCACTTCAAAACATTCAAGCCCGCCACTTTCGATGTGAACAGGCAGCTCAAGGCCATCGAGGCGTTCGAGGCACAGGCTATGAAGGACGCGGAGGAGACGAAGGGCAAGGTTGAGCTTGAGTTGCGGAGCCTTGAGAAGACGCTGGAGAATATTGAGACAGCGAGGCCGTTTGAGGACCTTACGGTCGTATGTTTTGGATCTCTCCTTAGAGATTTGTGTTTGTTTGGTTTGAGGTTTCCTTCGCTAATGGCTATTTTCTTCTTTCTTTCGCACTTGCGCAGGACGAGGTCAGCGAGGCTCGACCGGATATCATCGAGAAGACTTCCCAATTGGTCTCCAAGGGCAAATGGATGCCACCTGGCTACAAGGTTCGTTTTCAATTTTATTTTTCTGACAAATACCGCAAAGGGAACTGTCACCTTGGTCTCCTAATCTGGTTCGATGCCATCAACTATGCCTTGTGCGCATGGAACGACATGCTAACATTTGATGATTCCCCACCCTCTCAGGAACGATTCGGCGACCTTTCCTTTCTGTAAACTACAGAATTTCCCCGTTTTCCACTTCCATTTCCGTCTTCGTTTTCCCCCTTTCCTTTTGTCATCTCTAAGATATTTGTTCCATATCTATAACTTCTCAAGTATAATCAAAGCTGGCACAAAATGGGAGTGTGTGCGGGCGGTTGTGTGATTCGATTTGGGGCCTTGCGTTTTTATCAAAAACCTAGGTCCCAGGCGAGATGTATAGAATTTATGTTTTGAATTAGAATTGTTGTCTCCTATTTTTATTCCGTGTACCCCGTACTGTTCGATTCTGGGGACGACGCTCGACCTTGTCTAAATGTGTGATACAAGCCCCAACCGACGTCGTCGGCAGAGAGAATGAATCACTACATAGAGGCTGTAACCTTTGTTAAAAATCAAAAGAATGATTGTTTGGATGTTTAAAAATTCTCCAGGTCCTCCCTGCCCCCCCTTATTTTTTTTCGTATCAGATACTAACCTGGGCTCACCTAGCTTGCATCTGAAGCCTTACCACCGACGATTTAACAACACCTGTAGCGACATGGGATGCTTTGAAGGGGTGATTGATTGCCACCCGACAGTCGTCCCGTCCCGTCCATTTCCTACCTAACCAGGCGACTTTCCGGCCCAGGATGTAAGGACTCACTTCACCGCCTGCCCATTATAAGTTACAACTCAACTGTGTTTTAAAACTTCAAACGTGAATGTTACAATCTGAGGCATGATATAGCCAGAGTTCTACGGCGTCTAATTTTTCCCGTCTGGCTACGTGGGGCTTGGTGAACTGCACATGCTGATTCAGAGGCAGTCGCAGAAACAAAAGAAGAAAAAGAAAAAGAAAAAGAAAAGAAAAGAAAAGAAAAGAAAAGAAAAGAAAGATCACGATGCTTTATGGTAGATGTCTTCAAAGCGGTTAGTCTTGGGCGCTACGTTTACATAGGGCTTTGATTATACTATACAGGCAGCTGAAGGGGGATAGGATAGTCTCCCGCCAACCCTGTCAGTGACATGCTACTCGATATCAGAGTTATTTAAATCGCAGAGCCCTGAGGTAAGGTCATTTGCACGGGCTACAGGCCCTATTAGAAAAAGGAAGAAAAGGGCGCGATTGCAACTGAATGCCACGGGGTGGAAGTGCTGCCTCCGGTCACTACCTTTTCAAAACTATTAGGCCATGATGCAAAAACCAGCTGGGTGGGTTCAACAGCCACCTCGATATGTATGAAGCTCAAGGAGACGTGCAGGCTCAACCAATCACTGGAGAACTACACAACGCACGGCGACGGGAGAAAGACATAGCACGGTTGACTTGACAGGAGCCTGAAAGATGCAGCACGGGGGAGCAGGTGGTGATGAACGCCCGGCGGCCTAACCTAGCCACGCATCAATATCTGGAGACCGTCATAAAAGGCGTCACGCGTTGCGTGAACTTGTCAGCTAGTCCTGGCAAGTCGATGCTGTGGGCATATTTCACGCTTCTGGGATAATATGTACATATATGTACATGTACATGGGGGCAGGAGGTATGTTGTTCGGCGGCTTCGGCCCCAGGAACTCTGTCATGCAAGAGTATATAAACGTCACCCACTCCAACTGGCTACACTGGGCTCCCCACACCATTTCTACGACTGCTTCCCAAGGACTGCCGCCAGCGGGCAATGGTCTCTTCGGTGGTAAAACGGAAATTAAGGGATGGTCTAGAAATTGGATCAACGGATGCGGCTGGGCTGGCATGGTTATTTGCATGTTAGAATACACTATTCTCAATCATTTCCCAGAAGCATAACACTGTGTGTGTCATGGACTGAGATGGCATGCAATGTGTCAAGACCCAGCCTGCCGGCCAGAGTCATAGATATTGTGCAACATGTTTTCACAATTCACTATGTCACCAGCTTCAATACCCTGTTTCAATGCAGATATCTACAAACTAATTTCTAATGTGTCTTGAGAATATGTTTAGGAAGAGTAGTTGCTTGAGAACTGATATCAAATCCATAAAAATCATGAACAGGGGTACGTACTTCCACTTTATCCTCAGGTGGAATCAACAACTGACAGGCAAGAATTAATAAATGAACAATGCAATTTTGACTGAGAACTTATCAGTGATATAGCAATGCTTTTTTATTGATCTGTCTTGAGACAGGCAGTCATTACAGATCTTCTCTATCAAAAATTGCTAATCTGTATCATCAGTGACTTTAGAACATGATCTAGATTTTATCTTAGATGATGATACAGAAACTATGAAGTTATCACATAAATAATAATAGTGATAAAAATGTTCACTGTTGAGAAAGTGATAGAAAATTACTAAATGTCTTTTGTCTCACTAAGATAACTGGTAGATAGATATGCTGTGAAAAAATGAGATGAGATGAAAATATATTTCTTAACAGTCTGCAGAGAGAACAGAAGAGCTTAGAGTAAAAGTGGACATCAGACAACCATTGTTTACATTATAAGAACAA